TGAAATTGTTTGATAGTGAAGGAAAATGGCTATCAAATCTCTAATAGATTAGTCAGAAAGAGAATCTATAAAAACGACAGAACATTTGCTAGTTACCAGAATGCTTGTAGTTAATCTTGATTTATTTCTCCTTGAGTTAATGAGAAACTCCTTATCAAAGACCTCAAAATTAGTCTACATAAAAGATAGAGGATTCCTAGTTTTTGGCTTCTGTATTTTTTGCTAAAGTGAAACAATATTAACTTTACTTTACATAAGAGTTTCTTAAACGTTGAGTCCATGGCATGACGTGGATTCAAGACAATAATTTTGTAATTTGAATTATCAGCACCTTACTTTTTTGTAGTCTTAGAATAGGAAGCCAAAAAGTATCTGGCTGAACATATCCTTGTCCAAATGTTCATTTCTATAGCCTTTGATTGCTCTCTGAAACAATGATGCATATAAGAGTATTAACTTACGCTAAAGGTATTACTATTTTGTGTTTCCCTGAAAAGCTATATAGATAGAATAGTGCACCCCAAAGTGCTGAGCTCTAGATATTAGCAAACTTTTTTTTCTTCCCAGTAATTTTAGGCAAGTTGTTTAACTCCTTGGAGTTTCACATGCCTTGCATATGTTACCAAGTTGCTATTGTTGAGATTCAAATGTTTATGAAACATTGTTGTACATTATGAAATGTAACCAAATGGTAATGATGCCTTATATTTAGAACACAGCCATTTTATATGTGAATGGGAAATGAAAGGCTAGTTTGGGCCAGAAGAACTTAGAGAAAATTAGCCAAAACCAAATGTTTTTAATTGTGTACTTTTAACATTTTTGTTTAACTGTTCATATTGAATATTTGAAATGTGCAGGCTTGGTGAACAGGGTGTAATCTGTCATGTTCCAGAGAATAGAAGCAGCTCTGGGGCCTGAAGAAGGCCTCTTCTCTTTGTGTACCATCTCGACAGCATCTGTGCTCCTCCCCGCCCCCTAGGTACTAACCCCAGCTGCCTGCGGGCACAGACAGACCCATCTGCTCAGGAACACGGAGCTTGATTGACACAGACAGATAAGCTGAGGGTGGACTTCCTGGCTCTTCTAAATATTTAATAGTCTGTGCCTCCCTGACATCTATGTTCAGGGATAGAGGTGTATTTGTTAGAAATACAAACACAGTGGTTAAACAAACATAAAAATTAAACATAAGGAATCAACTCCAATAATAAGAAATTCTAGCTGTTTCTTTTAAAGTTTAGTTTTTAAAAAAGCTGTAGCATAAGGAGTGTCTTACACAGGAAGGCATAGATGAGGGGAGAGGCAGGATCCTCATCTTGATTGTCTTCCACATGCCAGGAACAGGGTTCCAGTGTGTTGCACACATAAGTATGTGTATGTAATATTAATAAATAGTAACATAGTTCATATGTTATAAATACATGATACCTTTATTCTTGTTCTGTTTAATTTCTTTTCCCCAGTTTCTAAATTTGTGACTTTATTCAGTTAAGAATAGCAAGGCTGGGGTTACTTTATGTCAGTTTAGACAGTATGGAAGACTTTTACTGAGATGCATGCTTCACATCTTTTCTTTTTAATGCATGGGAGAGCTTTTGTTGCAAAACAATTAACACCCATAACTACCAGTTGGTATACCAGGTAACAAATCCTTTTAAAAACAAAGTGTATTAGATCTAGTTACTGCACAGCTTGGAGATACGCAGTTTTGGAAACAGTACAGATTAGATTGATACCCTCAGAAATAAAAATATTTCCAAGTAAAAGCATAATATAATATGTTTGGCACCCAAGGGGTTTGTGTCTTCTTGCACAATATGAGTATGTATTTATTTTTTATTTGTCCATGTACAGATAATTCCAGGCTTTGTTTCTGATTTAAAACATAAAAAAGTTTGTAGGCATAGTTCTTCTTCGGTAAATGAATTAGATGAGAAAGGTTTTCTTAAATACGTGAGAACACATTTTTAGATTCAGAAGTATTTAAGAATGAAACAAATATTGTCCCTAATTTTATTATGTAGCCTCACTGATGACTTTTTTCCCGTAAAAAAAGGTAAGAGTTATCATAAGAAAATTCTAATGAGTTAGTTTAAGGATAGAACATTTCTAGCCCTTCTTCCCAGAGTTTGCCATTTAGTAATTTTTTTTTTTTTTTTTTTTTTTTTACTCTTCTAGGAAAAAAAAAAAAACAAAAAACCAAATATGATCCCTTTTTCACAAAAGGGAATTTAGATTGTTGGTCTTTTCCACATCAGCACATGCAGATGCCCTTCTATCTGTTTGAGCATTTGCATGGTGTATGTCCGGTGGCTGGGGCTGACTTAAATAGTCCACCTGCTCCTGAGCATTTAAATTGTTTTCAGCTTTTTGCAGATAGGTTTAAAAACTATTTTTTTAATGAAATGATAAGTGGGTTGTTTTTTAAACCATTTATTTTTTTTCTTTCTTCACTATGAAAAATTACATATATATTATAGAAAATGGGAAAAACATAAATAATAAAAATTGTCTATAACCTTACCAACCAGATATAAGAACCAGCAACATTCTGGTGTATTTGGCTGTGTCTTCTATCTGTGTGTGTATGTGTCAAGGTCCTACTGTCACAGTTCTGAACTTTGCTGTTTCTATCTTATGTTTTCTTGTTTCTTTAGACATTTTTGGAGTGTAATTGTAAATAGTCATATAAGATTATACTGTAACTTTGACTATTTTATGATTTTAGTGAAATTTAATTTCTATTTCTTATTTTAGCTGGACCTCCATATACTTTGTATTTTGGTATTAAATTCTATGCTGAAGATCCATGTAAACTTAAAGAAGAAATAACCAGGTATAGTATTGACTTTGTTTCTGAAGAGATACATGCATTGCATATACAAAAAGCTTTATTTAAAACATATTAAAATTGGGCTAAACATTTGGATGTGTGTCTACCTGCATTTTGTAATGCATCTCTTGTGAGGGTAAAATTTAAACTAGCATTGCATGAAGTTGATCAGTGTCTGACGATAGAGGTGTTTGAAAATGGCATGAACCTGGGTGACGTGATGATACATTTTGCGTCGGCTGTGATGAAATATTTCTATATCATTATTGTTAAGCATGCATTCAGCCTTTGTATTCATATGGAAGTCATTTGAACTGCCTAAAGGAAGGATATTTTGATGTTTGGTTTGTACTTCTAAATATACATTTGCGCAGCCAGTTATTTCTTTTTAATTGGTTGTAGCTTAAATATTAGCTTTCCAGGTGTTTCATTTATCTCTATAGGAAATGAGAAGATAATTGCTTTTAGTATTAAGAATGGAAACCAATGTTTTAATGCATTACTTCACCTTTGTCACCAAATATTTGATATGAGTAAGACAATTTCCTATCGATATTGATTAGGTTGTCAAAATAGTACATGTCAACAACTGAAAGGGCTTATGAAGAACAGACCAGTTATATTTTAACTTATTCCGCTGATGACCTAGCTGCATGTGGTAGCAAAAACAAAAGCATATTTCCTAACTTAACACTAAGTGGTCAGTTTTCCCAGTGAACCCATATTAGAGGCTCAAATAAAGCCTAATACCTCCTTTGAAAAAGTTGAAATCATGTCTTTCGTAGCCTACGGTTTTGTTTCTATTCCATGCTTTCATCTGTCTCAGACTTTCTTTTGTCTTTATTCTGGACTGCACACAGAAGAATGAGAAGAGGGTAGGCTAATTGGACCTTTTTCATCCCACTTTCAAGTGCCATATTTAGGCCTCATTTTTACTTTGTTTTATTTTATCCCTCAACTTAAGATATAATCTATTTGAACTGTAATGATTGATTGATGAAAATATTATATTTCATAACCTGTATTTAATTTTTTAAGAGATAAGGTCTTGCTGTATCACGCAGGCTAGAGTGTAGCAGTGTAATCATAGCTCACTGACCTCAAACTCCTGTGCTCACAGAATCCTCCCGCCTCAGCCTCAGGAGTAGCTGGGACTACAGGTGTGTGCCCCTACACCTAGCTAATACTTTTTGTTTTTTTGTCTTGTTATGTTGACCAGGCTGATCTTGAACTCCTGGCTTCTAGCAGTCCTCCTGCCTTAGCCTCCCAAAGTGCTGGGATTACCAGCATGAGTCACTGTGCCAGCCCAGACTTCATTTTTAGAACCAAGCAGATATCTGCATTCACATTGTTCATTATCACATTGTTAGTGAGCACTTTGAAAAGCAGACATGGCAGTTTAAGCTTTTGCAGAGCACATCTTTCTGGGGAAAGGGCCGTTAGGATGGAGAGGAAATGTTGAGGAGAGGGATGGTATTTTCATTAGAGTTTCAGGGGGAAGTTGAATTCAAGTACTGTAAAAAAAATACACTTATATCTGTAACTCATTAGGGAATTGCAAGGGCACAACATTTTTTAAAAAATAAAATGAAAGTCCTTCATAGTCAGGTTGTGAGTAATCTCTGCCTGTGCCTAAGTGTCCTCAGTTGTAAAACTGGAGATGTACCTGTTTCAAGGTTTTCTTAAGCATTAAATGGAATACTGTATATAAAGCTCTTATGATTGTCCGTGTCTCATACTATGTTTGATGAATGTTAATACTTATTTCATTCTATCCTTTTTCTAGATGTATGGTGGAATTACATCTTAAATAGGGGTTAGGTTCCAAAAATACTTGAGTTAATTTTAAGAAGGGATAAAAAAGATCATTGTTTTATAATGCATTACTTCACCTCTGTTCACCACACATATGAACAGAAATTTCCCAACAGAATCTATAGATGGATCATTAACAGAATACATGGATTTTTTGTATAATTTACAACCCACAATATTTTCAGTACAACCAGTTGTATTGAAAGTTTTAGACCAGCTTGTGTAGTTAAGAACACAATGACATAGCTGGCTTTTAGTGTCCATGATTTGTTGCCTAAAACATATGGTTGAATTTAGGTAAGTTAAATGTGCATTTAATACATTGATATACACATATTATTCATTTTATTATTGATTTACATGAATATATTACCATTAATGGACCTGAAAAAGAGGAGTCACATGAGATAATTTTGGCAAAAGCAAGAACTGAAACCAAAAAGCAAAATCTCCAGATACATGCTATTTAAGGAAGAACATACTTCTGCCAGCATTTTCAAGTTGAGTGTTTATCTTAATTTAGTTCTTTGGAAAATTGTGCCAGCCTACTCTGCATTGGCTGTTAGGTTGTCTGTAATTTTTTGATATGAATGATCATGCTATCATAAACATGCTTATACATAATCTTTTATGTGTATGTTTTTTTGACATGTTACTATTTCATACATATTGTATTGCCTCTTTCACCATCTAACCCAGCTTTTTTTTTTTTTTTTTGAGACGGAGTTTTACTCGTCGCCCAGGCTGGAGTTCAGTGGTGTGATCTCAGCTCACTGCAACCTCCACCTCCTGGGTTCAAACGATTCTCCTGCCTCAGCCTCCCGAGTAGCTGGGATTACAGGTGCCCACCACCATGCCCAGCTAATATTTTGTATTTTTAGTAGACACAGTGTTTTGCCATGTGGGGCAGGCTGGTCTCAAACTCCTGACCTCAGGTGATCTGCCCACTTCGGCCTCCCAAAGTGCTGTAACCCAGTCTTTTTACTGCTGCATTGTATTCCATAATTAACTGTATGTTTTGGCCATCCAGATTGTTTCCTTTTTTAAAAAAATTAGGGCTGGGCTCAGTGGCTCACGCTTGTAATCCCAGCACTTTAGGAGGCCAAGGCGGGCGGATCACGAGGTCAGGAATTCGAGACCAGCCTGGCCAACACAGTGAAACCCTGTCTCTACTAAAAAAAAATACAAAAATTAGCTGGGTGTGGTGGCGGACTCCTGTACTTCCAGCTACTCCTGCTCGGGAGGCTGAGGCAGGAGAATAGCTTGAACCAGGGAGGTGGAGGTTGCAGTGAGCCGAGATCGCGGCGCTGCACTCCAGCCTAGGTGACAGAGCTAGACTCTGTCTCAAAAAAAAAAAAAAAAAAAGAAAAAAAAAAAAAATACAGATAATGCTACAGGGAACTTCTCATGTATATACATGGTCATGCTATTAATATATGCAGTATTTCAGAAGGACACTGATGTAGGAAAAAAGATCTGGAATGAATGTGATAGAAAAATAAAGTTTCAGATTATGAAAAATGTAAGTTAATAGAATCATCAACTTGGAGTCCCCGCTTGTGTTCTAAGGTGTTTTCTGAAGTAAATGAAATTGGGGGGACTTTGAGGTCATATATTCTGAACTCCACCCTTGTAGAACATTTCTGACACATCAGCCAGCTTCTTATTAAGCTCTTTTAGGTAGGAAACCTACTTTTAAAAGCACTAAGAAATTCAATAAGAAATAATTCTCTGATGGTCTATACAGAATAAATCTGATCTCTCTTTTCTTTATTAGTACTGTAAATAATTCGTGTCCTCAGGAGATCTGTTAAACTGATTTTCAGTTCTAATTCAAAACGTGACATCCTTCCCTGTATTGTGTGTCCTTCATAGCTCTGTATCCTCCACAGATTTGATAAGTATAATACATATATTGGTTAGAAAGACAGGCTTGGGAGTCAGAAAGGCTGAGGTCTGCATCCTTGCTTTGTCATTCACTAGTTCTGTAATCCTGAGAAGATTGCATAGCCTTTTGTAAAGTCTCAGTTTTTTCATCCGTGCAATGGCATTATAGTGTTTCTTCAAAAACATGCTTGGAGGAATATGTAAGAGTGTACTGGCAAAGTACTTACCATAATGCAAAGATGTAAGTGTTCAATAATGATCAAGGTAGCTGACATGGAAATAATGATTATTGTTTTATATTTTCAAATTATTGATTAAAACATTAGGAAAAGACCAGCTTGGAGCCCTGAGATAGGTCTTCTTGCATGTTTAAGTCAATCCAGTAATCAGACCCTTCTTATTGTAGGTGTTGATTTAATTATGAATCATTTTACTATCCCCTGTAGCCTACATTTCTTGAATATGTATGTCAAGACAGAATGCACTTACACTTCATTCTGTAACTATCTGGAGTACCATGTTCCAGTGTGCTGAGTAAAAGGAGATTGAGTGGTGACCAGGGCAAGATCTGGTTTCAGTGTGCCTGAAGAGAGAATCTGTCAGTTGTCTTGCTGACAGCCCTATCTGAAATGCCATTGGAATTTCCCTGAACTTTTAAGGATCTTAAAACTCTTTCTAAAAAAAGAAAATAATGTTAGTTCCAAATGACTCATTCATAATACTTTTTAGAGTCTCAAAACGTGTTTGATTTTTTTTCTTAGTTTTTTAAATAATATTTCACAGTATTTTGTTGAGGATTGACATTAAGTTCTTGTCTTCTTTTTGCAACCCAGAATCTTCCCTTGGTGAAGATGGGTTTGTTTTATTTAGCTTCTTCATTTCCTGTGTGACCTTCAGTCCTATACTTACTTCCTGAGTCCCTGTCTCCTCCTTTCACTGAAGGTAATGGTCCTCATCTACCTCAGAGTTGAGGGTTACATTTTCTTATGGAAGCGAAAGGACTTTGTGAGCTTTAAAGGACTATCTAAATGTAAGGTGATGTTACTGCTATTTGTTTCCATATTTTCATCATTGGTTTTCAACTTTAGAGGTGAAAGAGTTATGATTTTTTTCTACTGTTTTTCTGCTAAGTCCTATGTGCCATTTTTCTGCATTATTTAATATCATGTTATGATTTAAATGTTTCCCTTTGACTCTCACATTTAAATTTTATCAAGACTGGTTAGATAAAATGCTGTGTTCCTGCTCTTTGTGGGATGAAGGTAACGATCATGCTCCTTATTACCTCTGTATAGGTTGGTAGTCTCCTCTAGGTTCTCCTATTTCACATTCAGCTATCACCTGAAATCAAACTCCTCCCTGTCCCTACCTCCTTCAGTTTTCTAAGCAGGGTCTCACATCATTAGAAGGTGCACTGTAGGATTCTTTGGTATGAGCATTCGTGACTGTTTTTGGCCAGGAATCTCACAGGAGCCTTCTGTTTTGAGCTTCTGTCTCTCTACCCCTTCTTTAAGAAAGTCCTTGTCTGTTCTTCTTGCCTCTAATTGCTAAACTGTTAATGGATCTCAACGACTTTTACATCCTTGGTATCAGTTTAGCTATTTTCAACACACATTAGATAAATAGAAAACTGTGAGGCCAATATTTCAGGCCTATCTCTTGTGTTGTACTGGTGGTGGTGGCGTGTTAAGTACAGATAGAGTGGAAGACAGAATGCTCCTCCCTACCTAGAAATCAGAGTCTCGGGGCAGTGCATATACATCGGTTTGTTAGTTTACAAAAGGAGGTAACCAGAAACTGTTTCATGAAGCCTCTGCTGTATACCACAATGTATTCTGGAAACTTCCTTGTTAAGTAGATATTTTTAGTTAGCATTTTTTCCCCAGTATGGTACAGTATAACTAGAGTCACAGTATAATTTATTGTCCAAACTTTGACACTTTAGAGAATGATGAAGTGGGTTATTAATAATTATATATTCATAATAGGCATAAATTAGTACTCTCCTAGGCAAACTGGCACATAGGTTCATCCTAATTAAAGCCAGAGATAAACAAGGACTCAAGCATTCAATCATAGCTTTAATCAGAATGACACAGAAGGAAAGACTCAGCAACTCTAACTTGCTCTAATTTAAATAAAATATTAAATTTACTATAAGCACCATAAAACATACAAAATAAGCAATATATAGTTAACTTGAAATAGGCCCTGAGATACTATAAAATGTTTAACATATGAAAATATGATTTTACTTTATCACAAATTTGCCTCATGACTCTAGTAAGATGCTAGATATAATAAAAATCAAGTTTTAAATTAAAAATAGTTTACCTTCAATTTTTGATTTTTTTTTTTTTTTTTTAATGCAGGGAGTGAAAGATCTGTGATATCTTTAAAGGGCAGGCTAACCAGGGAATTTTGAATAGATGTATTTTTTCTTTATGAATTTCTTAGAGACAGCAAATAATGTTCCCAGTTTTTAGAATTTTGTCTCTCTGTTTATCCATGTACCCAACTTGCAAATCAACAAGTATGTATTGAGCAGCTCCTATGCGCTGAGCCTGAGATACTAGGAATGCAGTTGCCAATGTGATGTGGCTCCTGTTTCTTTGTATCTGTTTGTCTGTGTTTCAGCTCTTTGTTTTCTACTGTGTATTTTTAATCTCTCTGTTCCTCTGTTCCTCTCCTTTTGTCTTTGAAGCAGATGTCTATCATTTCTGTATTTGGCAAAAGATTTGATTGTCTAGTCAGATGTTAAAGTCTTTTTTTTTTTTTTGAGAGAAGGTGTTACTCTGTTGCCCAGTCTGGAGTGCAGTGGTGCAGTTACGGCTCACTGCAACCTCAACCTTCTGGGCTCAGATGATCCTCCTGCCTCAGCCTCCCAAGTAGCTGTGACTGCATGCATGTACCCCCAAGCCTGGCTAATTTATTTTTTGTAGAGATAGGGGTCTCACTATGTTGCCCACGCTGTCTCAAACTTCTGGCCTCAAGCAATCCTCTTTCCACAGCCTCCCAAAGTACTGGGATTACAGGTGGGAACCACCATGCACAGTCTCAAAGTCTTAATAGAGAAAGAGACACTTGCATCTCTGACCCCCTTCTTTAAAAAATACACTTCAGGAAAAGAAATTTGAAGATGCCAATAGAGAAGGAGGAGGGTGTAGTGAAGTGCAAGTTTCCAGCAGCAAGCAGTGATAATTCTCACAGTTGTCTCTTTTGTTTATAAAGTTTGTTTGTTTGTTTGTTTTTTTGAGACAGAGTCTTGCTCTGTCACCCAGGCTGGGGTACCGTGGCGCAATCTCAGCTCATGGCAACCTCCACCTCCTGGGTTCAAGTGATTTCTCCTGCCTCAACGTCCCAAGTAGCTGGGACTACAGACATGCACCACCATTCCTAACTTTTGTATTTTTAGTAGAGAAAGGGTTTCACCATGTTGGCCTGGCTGGTCTTGAACTCCTGATCTCAGGTGATCCGCTTGCCTCAACCTCCCAAAGTACTGGGATTACAGGTGTGAGCCACCATGCCCACCCTTGTTTATAAGGTTTTGTATTTAAGTTCTCCTAATTTTACTTGACTCTACTTTTCTCTTCTCCAGGAGGAGCACAGATGATCATTATCAAACGGATTTAATAGCTCAGATGAACATTCAGGGAATTGAAAATAGTTAAATAGGGTTGGGAAAAGGTGTGCAAATTATGGAACAGGGTGGTCACTGATCAGTGGCAAGAAGTGGCCCCAGAATTAAGCAGAAGTAGGAAGTCAGTCTTACAAGCTATCTTAAGGAGCTTGAACTTTATCCTAAAGGCAAAGGGAAGTCTTTTGAGGTTTGTTTGTTTTTTTTTTCAACTGAAAGAGTGACATGATCCTATTTTCATCTTAAGAATCCTGCTTACCTCTTGAGAGGTTTGGAAGGAAAGTAAGTATGAGTGATGGCATAACAGTTAGGAGGAGGTTTTAGAAATTTAGGAGAGAGTGACCTGGTCTCGGGGATCGAGAGGAGTATAGATTTTAGAAACAGCATATTTGGTGATTGAATGTGGGTGCCAGAGATGATTACACATTGTTCCCAGGTTTATTTCTCTTGGACAGCTGAAGGTGGGGGTGCCACTTACTGAAATGGGCAGTGGGGAAACATGGGGCATTGAGCAAATTTTCTCTGAAACATGTGGTTGCAATCAAAGTTGATACCAATCTTTTTGAAATAATCAATGTGGTGTCTAATATCTAACACAAATGTAACATTTCCTCCCTAAGGGCTTTGGTTGTGAGCATTTGGAGAAGAGATATTTATCATAGCTGATTATTATAGTTCATTTCCTTTGTTTTTTTCTACCCTTCCCAATGACATCGAGTCACCTTATAAAACAGAAGTCACAAAAGGACAGGTTAAAGTGTGTGACAGTGTGTGTGCATGTGTGTAAGTGCTGGCATCCAAGGATGATGTGGATGGTTAGTTATGTTGGTTCGTAAACCTCTGGCCCCTCTCAGTCCACTGGCAGAATAGCTGAATAAGAAAACAAAACTAATCAAAGTTACATATCATCCTGATTGAGAGAGTTCTAGGGTCAGATTTCTTGGGTTCTAGCTCTAACTCTGCTGCTTAATTCGTTGTGAGGTCCTGGACAAGTTATTTCCCCTCTGAGTCTATCAGTTTTCTCATCTGCACAATGGAGACAATAATAGTACTGACTTCATTTTTAAAGTCTTAACCTAAGTTATTATACATAAATTACTTAGGATGAGTTCCCATGTAGTGTTAAGAACAGTGCATGGCATTGCTGTTATAACAGGTTTTCTTTTGGCAACTTGGAATGAGCAGATAATAGACAGAGTGTTATGTAATATAGGTTGGGTCTTTGTGATTTATTCCTCCCAGTAGGAGCGTGTTGTGGTGGCAGTGGCAGTAATGATAGCTTAAAAGAGCGTGGAGTTATCCTTTGCATTCACCCTGTGAGGTGGATGCTGTCAACGGTTCCAGTTTTGCAGGTGGGGAGGCTGGCTGTTGGAGAGGTTAGGCAGCAGCCCAAGGCTACAGGGGTAGTGAATGCCGGGGCTGGGAAGTAAGCCAAGCAGTTGAACTTGAAAGCCGCACTTTTTAGCCACAACCCTATATTGCCTCTGTAAGGTATGTTTGAGTAGTTCCTGTTCACTCAACAGCCCCCTCACACAAGAGTGGGGGGTGGCTTTATTTTAATTAAAGGTGATTGGTTGTTAACCTTGATTATCAGGGTCTAAAACATCAGCTTTGAGTACTGTAAGAGATCGTTAATCTCTCTTTTTGTTTCTCTTTTAGATATCAGTTTTTCTTGCAGGTGAAACAAGATGTCCTTCAGGGCCGCCTGCCCTGTCCCGTCAACATTGCCGCTCAGCTGGGAGCGTATGCCATCCAGTGTAGGTGCCACTTAAACATATTTGCCTCAGAAATGTCTGGAGAAAGTATTTGCATTTTTAAAAGCGAGTTTACATACTAAACTCTTATCCATGAAATTTTGCAAAAAAAAAAAAAAAAAGAATTTATTTGGAATTCAAGTTTTGTTCAGTGTTTCTTCGGAAGAGGTAAAAATGGAGCCAAGTACAAATCCCTTATGGTAGGCTGTATGGAGGTTTAGTCACTGGAATAGCATTGATTCTTGATTAGGTGGAGGGTCTAACAATCTGTTCTATCTACATCTCGTCTGAGTTCATTGATTCTCCTCCCCACACCCTCACCCAAGCTTCTATGTGTCAGAGATCCCATTGCTCCTGCACTGCTGTTGTGAAGAGTCTGCATGGCCAGGTGCCATCACTAGGTTCAGCGTGTGGCATGGGTGTTGAGCTCGGTGCTCTGCAGCTCTTCATGTTAATATGGTGGCTGTGTGGGGTGGCTTCAGCATGCATTGTCATTTTGGAGACAGAGGCTGAGACTACTTCCAGTAACAAGTGGACACCTTCTAAGAATCAAGCTAGATGTGGGGAAAGTAAGATAGCATGGTCCTTGCCCTTGTGACACTTGCAGACTAAAAATAATCTAGAAGAAATATGCTAGGAAAAATGTCATATAGATGAACTGGATTGGGGCTGCAAGGTAGATTAACATAGGGAGAAGCATTTGTATAGGAGTAATATAGAGGGCTGTCTGCTATCATTTTGCTTCTTTGTGTAAATTGTAATGGGATATGTACAGCATTGTATTGCATTCCCATGATCATTATTTCAGGCAAAGATGTATTGAATCACATGTACTATTTCTTGGTGTCATTATCTGAGAGGATATATTGAGGTCATGAGTGTTTTTCACTTCCAGCATTTCTAGTGTTTGTACTTGAAATGCTGTTTACAACATTTTACTTCACATACATTGTTAAGAGTAATTGAAGTAAAAACGGTGATATAATTATAGTCTTTGGGAATGCAAAAATATAGAACTTCTGTTTTTAAGTCCAGAATTTGTTGCTACCATCCATATATGCTCATCAGAGTTGTATTAGTAAAATTATTTAGTTGTCTTATATGTGAATTTTAATAAGACATTTGAAAACATGTTTAAGCATGTTAGGAATATTTTATTTCTGTATTTTAAGGACTATTTTTCTGAAATGGAAAAATCTATGATATCTTTCTTTCTTAGCGGAGCTTGGAGATTATGACCCATATAAACATACTACAGGATATGTATCTGAGTACCGGTTTGTTCCTGACCAGAAGGAAGAACTTGAAGAAGCCATAGAAAGGATTCATAAAACTCTAATGTAAGAATCATGACACTGTGTCTTATGCATCATCCATCAGTCATCATCTTCTGATATTCATAAGAAAAGTTTCTAGAATGATAAATTCTTCACCTGTGCATTTAATATTCTAATACTCCTCTTTGTATAGTTTAACTACTTTTAACTCTAAAATGCTCACTGAAAACTTCAGTAATTTAAAAAGTGTAAAGGAGAAAGTAATTTCAATATGTAAAGTTACCATGTTTTTGGTCAATGGCCTTTCAGACATCTCTTTCTATGTACAATTTCCCGTAGAGAAAATCTGTCGTACATAGGTTCATGTATTTATATTACATAGTGGAATCATTCTGTAAATACTAGATTTTGCAGTCTTTTTTTTTTTCGGTCACCAGGATCTTGTGAAATTAATCTTTCAGCTATAAATATAATTTTTAATCACAACAATTTTTAACCATAAATGCATTAATATATTCTTCAATGTTTCCTCTGTCTGAAGTATCCCAGTTCTTCACAGTTATAAGCCAAGTCCTGTTCAGGCCATAGCAATGAGTCTGGAAATAGTGATGATGCCAGTGTGGAACCTTTGAGGGTATTGTGTTAACACCACATGCATTTCCGAGAGTAGACACGTTCCCCTAGTAGGATTTTCAATTCATGGCCTATAGCATTGAATTTATAATTTCATTATAGTTATTTTGGTTAAATTCTTTACACCACATTGCTTTATTCCCTGTTATGTAACACTCCCTCTTGAATATGCTTGGTTTCAGATCTATTATAGTTAAGGAAAAAAAAAATGGCTGGGCATGGTGGCTCACACCTGTAATCCCGGCACTTTGGGAGGCTGAGGCAGGTAGATCACCTCGGGTCAGGAGTTTGAGAACAGCCTGGCCAAAATGGTGAAACCCTGTCTCTACTAAAAATACAAAAATTAGCTGGGCGTGGTGGCATGTGCCTGTAATCCCAGTTACTTGGGAGGCTGAGGCTGGAGAATCACTTGAACCCTGGGAGGTGGAGGTTGCAGTGAGTCGAGATTGCGCTATTGCACTCCAGCCTGGGTAACAAGAGCAAAACTCCATCTCAGAAAAAAAAAAAAAAAGAAAGAAAGAAAAAATGTAGAATTAATCTGGTCACAAAAAAATGTTTGCCTAAAGGATCTGTTTCAGTGAGTGTAGAAGCAGAAGTCAGCTGCTGAATTGCAATCAGAGAAAGAGGGCCTCTATGTTGTATTAGCATGCACTAGAAGGCTCTCCAACCTGATTGCAGAGTCCTTCATTTTCAGATTTTGCTGAAGTAGATGCTCAGAGAGTGCTTGTTATAATGTTAGGAAGGGCAGTGTGTTTGGCACATTCTGAGAGTACTGATCTACTAGGGGTTTCAAAGCACAGTTATATACTGAAATTATCAAGGAGCTTTGGGTAAAGGCTCTCATGTGTTTTACATGATAGTGTTGACAATGTGACTGTTATTTCTAAGAATAAAGCTTGATCAAAGTGTGGTGTGTCTAATTTGATGAACATTCTTCTTGGATTTCGAAAGTATGGTATGTTGGTGGTTTTCCAGTGCATTGTGGCTGAAATGAAATATGTCACTGCAGGATTTCTTAATTTTTAAGATTCGACCTCCTTTGATTATCTATTAAAATCTCAATCTCTCTGTCTCTCTCTGTCTCTGTCTCACACACACACACTCGCTTGCACATGCATGTTTAACTCTTCTGTGCAGATTTCAGGCTGATGTTCACGCTCATCAGAAATGAATGCTGTTTTCTTTATATTACCACCAATGAAGATTTTGGGAAGAATTCTGTACTCTGTATTAAGAAAATGACAAGCATTTTTACAATCTCTGTATGTTAATCAATGTATTTTCAAACTACACATGTGCTCAGGAGATCTTGATATGACCCCAGTTGGGTGGTGGCGGCCCCATTCTCTTCCTCCTACCGACCACTGCTCTAGTTCCCTTTGCTTTGGATGGAGAACTGCTGCTGCACAGAGACATTTTACCGTTTGTGAAGGGGATGCTGTTTCATTTGAGTGCTTATATTCTCAATAACCTCTTTAGGGGTTTCTGATGAGAATTTTTAATATATGCTGGGACATTGGGGATAGGCTATAATGAGCCAGAATGGATTTGGTAAATGAAATTAATGTAAGTATCACTTCAGAGTATAAAATTTTGTCACCAAGAAGCAAAGGCCTTCTTGAAATACAAGGACTTATGTTTGCATTAGTAAAAAGTATTATTTGTTTTCCCAGTGAATACAGTGAAGATAGTTTGCATCCCTGTAAGTGCAGTAGCTGCTATAAAATAAGGCTCTTTGTTTTTGTGCTGGGTATAGGGGTCAGGCTCCTTCTGAGGCTGAGCTGAATTACTTGAGGACTGCCAAATCCCTGGAGATGTATGGCGTTGACCTCCATCCCGTCTATGTGAGTAACATAACACAAAATATTTTAAGCTGATGACATTTTTCTTAAAAAGTCACTGAGACTCCCAAAGGAAAGTTGCAGTTCTGTTGTTTAGCAAGCAGATGATACTTTTTTATCTATGTTTTTCTAACACAAAGCAGCTCTTGTGTGGATTAAACCCTAATGAGTTTTGCATAAAAATCTGTGATTATATTTCCATGTGTAGAAAACAATTAAGTGGGCTTGAAAACACAATCTGGATAACATATCCAAAGGGCTTAGCTAAACATCAAAACAATATAAAAGTGATGCATAGGCCGGGTGCGGTGGCTCACACCTGTAGTCCCAGCACTTGGGGAGACCGAGGTGAGCGGATCACCTGAGGTCAGCAGTTTGAGACCAGCCTGGTCAACATGGCAAAACGCTGTCTCTACTAAAAATACAAAAATTAGCTGGCGTGGTCGCGGGTGCCTGTAATCCCAGCTACTCGGGAGGCTGAGACAGGAGAATGGCTTGAACCTGGGAAGCAGAGACTGCAGTGAGCTGAGATCGTGCCCCTGCACTCCAGCCTGGCAACAGAGCAAGACTCCATCTCAAACAAACAAACAAACAAAAAGGTGTATAATTGACTGTATTAGACAGAAAACAGGAGGACTTTTCAAAAAATAGATTTTATGGCAGCAAAACATAAATACAGTCACTTGCCAGGTAAAGTAGGCATTAGGCAATAGGCCAGTCGCAACTACTGCTGATTCTGTTAATACGAGGGTTACCACTTACTATAGGTATCATTGCATAAGTAGAAATATTTTTGCAGATTTTTTTCAGTGGTTTATGAAAACTTGCTGAATAGTAGTCAGTGAGCAATTACCCTGAATCTACACTGAGTGTTCTGGATCTGGGTTTTAACCTTTGAGCTACTTCTTTTAGGCTACCAAATGATTATTCTATGCCAATGAGATTAGAATGCCTTTGTCTTTGAATTAAGAGGAGTGTCAGTAGCAGTAGTTAAATTTTATTTGAGAAAATGAGCCAGGTACTTTATTCTTTATAGGAAATGAATTGCTGAAGAGTATTTATAGACTGATTTTTTTAAAATCAATTGGATTATGGAACTCAGTTTTTAAAGAACCCTAATAAAAGTTTCTCTAGTGCAAATAACACTCATGCATTCATTTTGTGCATGTCTTTTGCTCATTAGCATTTCCTCCAAGAAGAAACAATCTCTTATTATTTTTACAGTTAGAAGCACTCCTGTTTAATGTGGCAATAAAAGCTATAGATTTGGGGGAAGAAGTAGTTCCCTGATATATTATATTCCAATTTCGTTAGGTCATTAAATGCTTCATAGCACTGTCCTTATACTGCTAAAACTATAGAATCATTATTGTTTTCCCTTCCCTCCCTTTAGCTACATTAATCTTGTTAGGTTTTTCAGTTTTTAAAAGAAAACATTCTATAGGAAATTTATAAAGAGAGTCTTCTGTGAAATACTTCTACATTTGTATAATGTTTTCCTAATTAGAAATCACCTTTGTTGATGGTAGAAATTTATGGCAAATTAGCTAGATTTATTAGATTCTTCAGTGGATTCCTTTAAGATTTGAATTTTAAGAACTGAAAAGTGGGCATCGACAAGTATTCTTCCAAATGTGTTGCTTTATGTTCTTTGTGAATATAATTTTGCAGGTTACCGTTTATCTTAGAGTAGAAATAATATTATCACAAACAGTTCTGTGCATGTCGTTGGTACCCACTCTGTGACTGTTTCATTTTAAAATCCTATTTTAAAATTTGGATTTATTATTGCCTGAAAATAAGGGTTCTCTAGTCTTTACCAGAAGAGATTATACTTTTACATTTTTGAGCAGTCTTAAAGTTATAGGTGGAAGTAGGAAGAAACATGATGGAGACTTCAGAAAATTCAAATGTGTGTCTGCTAGTGACTGCCTAAACTTTCTAGAGAGAATTGGGGTGGGAACGAAGTGGGTTTCATGATTGTCCACATCAGAGATAAATCAAGCCATTTTGAAAGCACCCTTGATAGAAGCCAGTGGTTCTCAATCTTTGACTGCACAGGAGTATCACCTGGGAGTCCTGTGTTTTTTTCTGCTACTTTGGCCTCTTCATTAGAGATTCTGATTTAACTGTTTCTGGTAGTGCCCAGGCATCAGCATTTTAAGCTGCAGAGTGATTCCAGTTAATATGCTGCTAGTGTTGAACACCACTGTGTAAGGAAAGTTGGGTAAGTCCCATTGGCCTGACTGGTAGTCCAGGCTCATTTTAATGAACTGAAGTAGCAAGTATGAAGAACACTAACAAAGTTTCTTTTAAAACTTTGAAAAAATAAGCAACAAGTTAGCTACTATCATAGTGTATCTAGCTTTCTAGGCTGATGTCTTTCAAAAATTAAATCCAATACTATAACAAATTATATTTGTATGGTCAATTATAGTTTGACAAAGAGATTTTATGTGAATATGTGATTATAGGCATATGTTTGCTTTTGCAGGGAGAAAACAAGTCTGAGTATTTCTTAGGATTAACTCCAGTTGGTGTTGTTGTCTACAAGAATAAAAAGCAAGTGGGGAAGTATTTCTGGTAGGTATGGCTTGAGAACAGAGTTGGCATTCTATGTTTTGGGCTTATGGGACTCCTTTGTCAGTGAAAGAGTTGGGGAAAAGAAACAGGTATTTTTCCAGTGGTTGGTAAATAAATGAGTGAAATTGGATGTGAGTTTTCTCCTATTGCACCTCAGTATATGTTTTCTCTGTAAATTTCAGACACTGTGATTCTAGACTCTCTTTTCCATGGGAACTATGTGTAGTAGGATTTCTCACCCATTTCAGTATGTGCTGATGGGCTGTGGATCCAGGACTATTCTGACTTTTAGCTCCAAATGGGGATGATATGGAGACATTGGGAAGCCTGTGACCCTGCACTGCGTTTGGGAAGGCGGCACTGCCACAATCTGGGGATTCCAAGGTCATTGTGCATTTAGTGGAAAAGCATAGGACAATGAGAATGGAGTTTGCATTAGGGTTTATGGGGAACTCTCTCTGTCCCTGTATGTACTGGGTATGGAGCAGTATATCAAGGAGCCAGTATTCAGCAGTCTTTTTCCACTGGACACTTCCCTGATTTTCTGAAAGGTTAATACTTAAAAACAGCAACAACAACATCTGCTTTGTTTTTTAGGCCTCGGATTACAAAGGTTCACTTCAAGGAGACTCAGTTTGAACTCAGAGTACTGGGAAAAGATGTAAGTTTCCAAGCCCTTAGCTTAAATTAGAAGGGGGATGTCTTCTGTGTTCATTTATAGCTTAAAAGACATTGTGAAGAAATATTTTCTTCAGCTGCTTCCACATGGAGCCAGGTTAATTAACTCACATCACAACTTCTCAAGGAAGGAAAGGGAAGTGAATAGAAATGAATGAGAGAGTAATGGAGAAATGGGCATTTTAGATTTAGCAAAGGAAAGCAAAATCTTTCTAAGGCAGAGGAGAGAATAGGAGGTGATCATTGTTATTAGTGTAATTTTCTTTCCAGTACTCTCTGTGAGGGTAGAAGGTAGAAGTTATAATCAGAAGGGTATAGCCTGCATTAAGGACTGCCAAAATGTGTTCTAATTTTGCTGTAATGTAAATTAAACAACGTTTTGGGAGTCTCACTTCTGCTCTTTCCCTCATTGAGTGTGATAGACAAACCAGATGGAAATTCTGGATGCTTTCAAGGGAGAATGTAAAAATGCCGGCCTTTGCTTTGCAACTTGGCAGTGTCCTCTGGGAGTATTTGGGTAATGGGCACAAAACTTGTCAGTGCCTGGATGTGCTTTCATGCCTTGACGGGTATATTTGAGAAAAATGGTCGAAAGAAGGCAAGGATGTGAAAGCTTCCTTTTGATCTACCTGTGAAAATAATGCTTCCTTGAAATGCTACTACTGTAAGCCATATATTATGGGATACATGAGTGAAAATATGATGTTCAATCCATTTTTATGGGATACATGAGTGAAAAACAGGATATAGGAGAATCTACCCTTCTGTCTCTTTGATACTAACTTTGTGCAGAACAAAAACTAAGTGGAGTTTTTAAATTGATTTTCTTGATTAAAGAAAAGTAAATTGGTGCTTAAGCATGCACACATTGAGACAGGAATAGTAGAGCTGCAGCTACATTTGGGCATGGTATTTGGCAGAGTGCCTCACATGTAGTAGGTACTTCAGAAGTATCTGTTGAATGATCATTGAACTGATGCACTGAGATACTGTGTGCTGCCAGATCAGAAAACCTGGTGCTACTCTTTGTTCTCCTAATAGGAAAAAAACATTATTTCATCCTGAACTATATGGCATGCTGCCATTTACTGATACAATTAAAATTGGATTTTGAAATTAGTTTTAACAACTTGTAAGGAAGTGAAATTCCAGATTTTTGAAGAAATGATAGTACAGAAGCCGTATAGTTGTCTTATGGTCTAGTTTGGAGGAAATCCAATGTGTTCTTCAGCTCCTGATTAGACATCTCAATTTTAAAAGATGTGCATTATAATGTAAGACTGAATTAAAATCATTCAAAAAGTAGAGTAGCTAATTAGGAGGGTTTTGTAGTTTTCTCCATATGTTGCCATTCATTGCGTTCACATGAATAATAATTCATCTAAATAATAATGATGCAAGGAATAAGCTCTGTTAAATATATTTGAATATAATGTTTCAAGTTTTTTTTAGCAGAATATGATAATCAAAAGACTTTTATGGAAACATTACTATTATTCAAAGTATTCTTTCCTTATAAGCTATTTTTGTGAGTGAGGTCCTCTGGTGAATGACTTTCATGTTATTATTACAGTGCCTTAAAATATATGTCTACTACTGTCTCAGGATAAATATTTGGCAAAGTCCCAGCCAACCTGAACTTCCATCTTCTTGGACTTCTTCATGATTAGGCAAAAACAACAGCAACGAAATTGATATCATCGTGTTATTTTTCAAATGACAGTGTCCATCGAATGACCCTGTTTCCTGCGTACTCAGCTCAGGTGTCTCCCATCCCCACCTCATTCCTTCCCCAGCTTTGAGATGAAATGGATGTCTGGGGAGACCCAAGGCACTGCACACTTCTAGGTCATTAAGCTCAATGTCAGTATCTTTAATAAGGTGACAAAGCAGGTCACATAACTCAGAGACTTGAATTAAAGGGTTTTTTAAATTGCTATTAAGTATCACATTAATTTAGTCAAAGCATTCTATTTCCTAAGTATTCTTGCTTGTGGGTCTTTTCTCTTTCTCCACCAGGGTACCTCTCTGTGAGGCAGTGATTTACATAATGGTTGAATTAGGTTGATTATTATGGAGGCCTAACCGTACTCACAAATTGAATTTAAAAGCCCCTTAAAACCCATCACTTGGAACAGTAATCACATTCAGCATGAAGAATGGTTGAAATGCTTATTCTGCTGGTTTGCTGGTCTGGTCAGACTTAGTATGGTCATTAGCATTTAGGCCAAATTCAGAGATACTTTCATGCATTAAGCTTCCAAATAAGTAGCGTTATTTACATAATTTTGTACAAGAAACTAAACTTTTAGTATAAAGATCGTACATGTTCACTATAGAAAATCCAGAAAATACCCTGCAAAGGAGAAAACTAAAATTACTCATTATGATTATTAATATTTTGATACAGTTGCTTCTAGATTTCACCCTATCAGTGTGAATGTGTATGTACATAAATGTAGATTATCTCCTATGTGGTTTTGTGCCTGCTTTTGTATTTTATATTGTATCATACGAATTTTCCCTTTTTTGTTAAGTTTATTCATATGTTCCTGCATGGTGTTTGATAAGTTTTCTTTTTATGTGTTTTACTTTTTTTCTTGCTATTGTGGATGCAATCTTTTCTTTCTGTTATTTTTTCTAACTGGTTTTTGCTAGGAGAAGTGAAAGCCATGGAATTTTATTTGTTTATCTCAGATCTAGTCATTTTGTTGAATTCTTGTATTCCAGCTGAGAGTTCTTAATTTGATTCTCATAAATTTTATAGGTATATCACTTGCAAATGAAAATAATTTATTCCTTCAATTCTACTGTTTATGTTTCACACTTTATAGTGTTAGTCCGAACTTCTAGAAGGGTATTAAGTGATATAGCAGTATAAGGCATCCTTGATTGGCTTTCTGTTTTAATGAAAATATCACTACTATTTTATCACTATTTTATCACTATGTGTTAGTTCTTGGTTTTAGGAATACATGTTTTTTACTAGGTGTTGAAATTCTTTTAAGTTTATTATCAGATGGTTGATTTTCATTGAATACCTTGAGAACTAAGACTGCCCCTTGTTTACTCATTCAGCAACTTAGGCTTATTTCAAAATTCGGGCAAGAGATGATAGTGTCTGTATCTCAGTGGATCAAGGTGACAACAGTCAAAATGCAGAGAAGCTGTTGGATTATGGATTTTACCACCAGGGTTTCCTGAATGTGGGCAGATACGAGAAGAGTCCTGGTCACTTACACGAGTTTGACCTGCGAAGCAGGAAAGATAGAGCTACCATCAGGCGAAGTGGGGAAGGTTATGGATAGAGCAGGCTTGAGGAGGCAGATCAGGAGTCCCGTTCTGAACGTGTTGAATTTGAGATGTCTTTTAGACATACAAGTGGATATATTAAATAAGAAGTGAGCTATGTGAGCCTGGAATTCAGTACCAGAATCTGAGCAGAATATATAAATTTGAGAATCATTGCCATCTGCTAGTTTTTGAAGCCTTGAGACTACCTGAAATCACTGGGAAAATGAGTATAAATGAGAAAAGAAGAGAGAGAACCAGCAAAGGAGGCTGAAAAGAATCAGCCAGTGAGGTAGAAGAAACACTAATTATCCTGAATGCCAAGTAAAAGTCACGTATTAAGCATGTGTCAAATGATGTTGATATGTCATATAGGGTAAGGGCTGAGAATGGGCCACTGAATTTAGGAATGTAGGAGATCATTGAGAAGATGAGTTTCAGTGGATTGGAAGAGTGAGTTTCAACCCAGCAGTTCCCCTCTTAGGTATGTGTACCCTAGAGAGGTGTTCTGTGCAGCACTTACATAAAAGTCAGAAAAAGAAATTAACCCAGAATTCCATTAACAGGAGAATGAACAAATAAATTGATGCATATTCATTAAGAAAAACCTGTAAGAGAAGTAACAGGAAGATAAGAATTGGAGAAGGTGAGTGTGGATAACTCTTTGGAGGACTTTTGGCACAAGGGGAATCAATAGAAATATAGCTGGCAGGTACTGTGCCAACATCAAGATATGAAGAGGATGACTTTAAGGATGACACCCACCATGAAAGATTGCAGAATTTCATCAACTGATGAGATCCAAAGCTGGGAGTTTTAGGGGGGAGGAAAGAGAATGGTCTGAAAGCAGCAATGTGGAGCAGGGAGGATCCTCCCCACTTTTAGGTTCAGAGATGCAAGAACAGTGGAGACAGAAGACACAGCCATCCCTTGAGGGCTGCAGTGGAAACAGGGTCTTCAGGGATAGCGGGTGTCTCCTAGTGCAGGAAGGTGAAGGACATATGAGAGAACAGACTGAGAAGCGAGGGGGTTTGCTGATGAGAGGTCATGAATTCTGGAGGGCACAAAGCAAGGGTTTCAGGAGTTGGGTAGTGATGAAGAAAGAGGCAAGGGGGTGTGCTGAGCATTATTTGGGGGTGACTGAGATACACAGAGATAAGGAGCATCGTGAGAATTGGTCCAGTCGATTGGGAAGGGAATGATGATTGGGTTTCCATGTCTGCCCATTTCCTCTGGAGATGTAGGGTAGAAGACCTAAAGAAGGTGGGTGGTTCCAGTGCACTACCTGGTTCAGCCTGACCCTTCTCAGAGGAGGGCCTCTCTTACCTGTGGGCGTGAGCTCAGAGTCAACACTTGAGATGGATTGAGGACTTGCGGGGAAATTGGGTGTTACATTAACTCTGGACTTCACCCTCCATGATCAGATGTGCGTTTCAGAAAGCACACTTGGCTGCAGGGTGGAACATTCCACAGACGTGAGCACAGGGGCAAACAGGGTAGGAGATATGATCAAGGGGATACAAGAGGGGACTCACTGCAAAGATGGAAAGAAGTGGGCAGATTTGGGAAGCATTTAGGGGGTTAAATTGTTTCTGATTGGTAGCAGATTCATTGTTTTTGTGGAAAATAGGAATTTAGGATAATACTGGAATTCACTGGTTTTGGCAACAAGAGGAAGATGTAATTCCTAAC